CACCGAGCCTACATCTCATGGGGAGGTGATTCCGGCGACGAGTCATCGGAAGGCGAAGAAAATGAAAGCGCCAACCTTTGCCTCATGGCACACGAGGAACCACCGGAAGAGGTATGTACCACTTCTAAAGATTCCTATACTTTTGATGATGTACAAGAAGCCTTTAATGAACTTTATGATGAATATGTCAACGCTTCTAAAATTAACAAGGATTTGAAGAAACAACTTATTTCCATGGAGAAGGAAGTTGATAAACTATCAAAAGATAATGAAAAACTTAAAGAAGAAAATAAGTTTTTCGGAAAAAGAAGCGCCGACAAACCGGAAAGTTCAAAATGTAGTTTTTGTATATCATTTAAGGAACAAGTTGCAAAACTTGAAGGAACTTTGAAGAAGTTTGGTGTTTCTCATAAAAATCTTAATGATGTTCTTGACAATTTGCAACTTACTAAACATGGCTTAGGTTTTGAAAATGAAACTAATAATAAGGAAAAAGCTGAGCAACCATCTAGGAATCCTAAAGCTCAACTTAGGAATAATGAAAATCAAGAAAATAGACAACCTAGAACAATTAAGAACACTAGATCACCTAGAAAGAACACTAGGATGAACAATGGTCAAGTTAGAAAACCTAGCAACTATTATCAACCTAGGAGAATGCATAATCCAAATGTTATTTGTCATTATTGCAATAGGATAGGTCATATAGCACCCGTGTGTTTTATTAGGCATAGGCATTGCACGTATAACAAAACACACACTTTGCATGGAACTAACCTAATGAAATCCTTTGAAAAAGGATATTCGAGCTCTAACCAATCCCTGCAGGAATCAATGCAAAAGAAACCATACTACTTCTTCTATTATGATGAAAAGAAGAAGATTCACATACCACTTCCGGAACCCACACAAATGAAACCGAGGTATAGACATTCGGTTCGAGTAGACTGGAACCCGCCAACCGCAAAACGACGAGGTGGCCAAGGTAACACTTAAACACGCGTATTGATACGTGTGTGTGTGTGTGTGTTTGCGTACCATGTATATGTAATTATGGATGCGAGTGTTTATTAGTTTAAAAAGTCGTGTTACTAATCCTCAAGGACCCAAAAGACCAAACGGGTACCAAATGTTTTCATTGTAGGCGTTGAAGTTAGGGGGAATGTGAACAATCAATTTCCGACTTCAGTATTGGATAACAATCGATTAACATCATTATGGTAGTCGATTATCACAACCCACAGGAGGTGAAGCAAAGAAGCTGAAGGTGCCATCAATCGACTATCATCATTACGATAATCAACTATTGAAGACCGCAGATCATTCAACGGAGAATCAGAGGCCTCAAATAATCGATTTACAGGGAGTGTAAATCGATTTACAACGGTGATTTTTTTTCAAAAATCTGACCGTTGCAGAGACGTTGGACGAGTTTTTAATCCTTGTTTGACCACCCCAACAGATCTCTAAGCCTCTTCCACTATAAATTGGTGACATCTACTCCATTTTCACTCATTCCAATCATCTCTTCTTTATTTATTATGCTTTTTAAATTTGCTTCCATTATGTACTCCTCCACTTTCCTTAATTAATTAATAAAAATCTTTATGGTTTTTGTTATTAAATCTTTTTGTTAATGTCAAAAGGGGGAAGATAAGGGCTATGCATATTTTCAGGGGGAATTTTATTAAGGGGGAATTTTTTTTTAAAAAAAAGATCAAAGCCCTATGCATATCCCCGTCTTGTTTGCCATTATCAAAAAGGGGGAAATTGTTGGAACACACTTTGTATGTTTAACTAAAGTCGTGTTCATTTCTAACAGGTTTTGATAATTGCCAAACCGCCGTGGATATGAAGAGTTTCGTTGAATAACTCAAGGCGTGAAGAATGGCATGGAACAAGACCAAAAAGACTCAAGGACAAGATCAAGAATTGAAGACTTAGTCGAGTCGGTCTTTTGTGATCAAAACCGACAATCAATTCAAGTCTCGGTTCTCAAAGAGTCAAAATTATTTTAAAATATCATAAAAAGTTTTTATGCATTTTAGATAATTTTTTTATTGTCAAAATCCTTGGTCCTTGCTCAGAACCAAAATCACCTAAGTCGGCGTACGGTGTTTGGCATTCGGTGCTCGGCGTTCGGTTTTTTGGCGCCCGAACCAACTCGGTGGTTTTCTATGTTTTAAACCTTGTTTTGATCTCTGAGCATATTTAAAATGTTCCCAAATAATTATTTCATAAAAACCACTTTTGTATCTTGGTCAATCGGTCTAACACGTGAAAAACGGTCAAAACCGTACGCACGTGATGTACGACCTTGGAGACTTGGTTTTTACCGAACAAGTCTTGTTTTCACTATTTTATACCATATACAATGTTTTTCAAACTTGGTTTTTACTTTTGGGAACACTTCGTTTTTGGACCTCGGTTTTTCAAAACGGGTTTCAGCTGGCTAGACTTTAGCTGGGTGATAATCGATTATCA